ACCCTGTATATTAATTGATTTTCGGATTCTAGGGAAAAATTAAAGGTGAGTTTCATTAGAAAAGTATATAGCTAAAATGTAAAGATTTTGAAATATTTAGCATTTTCTAAAAATGAAGAATACATTTCAAATTTTAATTCTTTATCCTTAAAAATTCCCTTAATATCCATAATTTGAAGTCTGAAAAACAACTGGCTACTGTGTCGGATAACGGATCCAAGTTCGTAAAAGCTTTTAAGCAATTCAGACTACAACTGGGTATGAAATCCTAGAAAAAAATGGGAATTTAGGATTTAAAAATATTTCAGCAAATCTGGAAGGAATGGAATCTAATATCACAATCTCATTACCTAAACACATTCGATGTACTTCACACACGTTGAATCTTAGTGCCGACTACCAATATAAAAAATATAATTCAGAAAGATGTTACATTGAGGTTTCGTCATACAAATATTTTGGCAAAATGCAATGTTCTGTGGAAAATGGCAAGTCGACCAAGCACAGAAATTATTCAAGAACCCTTAGACCACACATTAAGTTATCGAGGGCCAACACGCTGGAATTCTCTGTATGATGTTATTATTTAACATTAATTATTCAAGAAAATCTGTTTAATACAGCTATTAGAAAAGATGGGCATTAAAAATCAGATGTTCATATATGCTGAAATTGCTTATTTAACTGACTACTGCCGAATTTCGAAACATTTAGCAAATTCAATTGACAGTTTATGAGGTGAAAAAGTACCTTTTATGGATATCTTACGATACCATGCGATATCAACTCATATGTACGCATAAACTTGTGGTAGAGACAGCCGGGAAAATAGAGGTAACTAAAAGTGTATCCATGGAAAACAATATTATAACAGAAACTACTGATGAATTCTTTGAATTAGACTGTTCCGACTCTCCAGAGACGCTTCAAAGTTCCAATAAAAGGAAATTTGAAATTGATTTTGTCGTACGCAGAGTTTCAAAGTATGGACTCGAAACCAATAGATCGATTTCCTGTTATACCAGAACAATTTTTAAGATATAGGTAATACCTTTCTACCGTCATCGGCACCCGTTGAAAGACTTTTCAGTTTTGGCGTAATGGTAAATGCATCTCGAAGAGATGCTCTTTGTGACATACACTTTAAACAAGTAGTTATACTAAAGTCAAACGGTAAAAAACTGATTGCCTTGAAGTAAAGAAATATGAGTACTTATTGTTATAGTTAAAGTTCAAGTTAGCTCATTTATAGTTTTAAAGAGTTTATTATCAATACTTATTTGTAACTACATTTTAGTTAACATATTTGTTACAATTATTTTTATTGTTTTTCTGCAGTTCACATAATTTTTATTTTTACTTCCAATCCTTTAAGTACTTCATAAATCCATGAAATAAACGTGTGATATTTGATACTTGAAATACTTTTTTCCAGTACTTGTGACAGCCCAACCCTGTATCGTGAAATGTAGTGTCTTTCAAAATATTGCAATATATATAATATAAAACAATTTAAAAGTAGGTATAAAAAATTTGCTATTTCATAATTTAGAGGGTTTATTAAGTGTGTAGAAAATGTAGTATGTATAAATGGCCATAATTCAAAAACCACTCAGTATGGTAATAAGTAATAAGGTATTTTTGGAACCGGAATTTTATATCAAACTCACTGAACTAAACAAATATAAAGTATTTCATTTGAAATACTAAAACTTAAGTGTAAAAATATATTTGACTCACCCTGTATATCTTGAAAATATTTTTGAAATGTGAACTACCATTACACACATATTTTGTAAAAGGTTTGGAGTGAAAATCTCAAATAGGAGTCCTAATACAGAGCTTTTTCGGAACACGGAGCCATCTTGTATGTATGCATATTTAAATACTAAAGTGAAAGCAACGAATTTAAATAGGTAAACTTTGTAATATATCTTATATACAATGCAAAAAGTTTTATCAAAATTCCTTCACAGTAATTGAATTCCGAGGTTTGTATCCCACAAGGGCTTAAGGTACTCCACTATATTTTATTTTGTAGATTTTCTTGAAGTGGCGTAATACCCATATAGGATTTTTTGGAAAGATAAATCCGCCACATAGGTATAGACATTTTTACTAATCATTCTTGTTACCTAATAATGCTTTAATTTTATGCTAATGATATGCTAGTACTTGGATGGATAAATAATACAGTTGAACCAACAGATCTTTGCGTGCGTCATCCTTTGTTTTTAACTTTAGCTTAATTCGTATGTCGGATAATGATGAATAGTTATTTAAATAAATAAAGCACGTCTGAGTACCGGATGGGGATCAACTCCTAAATATTAATGAGACGTAAATTTGAAAGAGTACTTAACGTTTTAAAATGAACACACTCTTCTCCCCCCTGGAATTAATTCCATATTTCTTCGTTCCCGTACTAACCTTAAATCTCCCTTATCACGATTTCCTCACAGGAATGCCTTTTCATTATCCGCCGTGGCTGTTTATTAGATTTTACAGATACCAAAGGAACGTTCCTTCCCATTTTCCTTCGAGAGGCTTTAAATTAATTTCTTCCCTGGCATTGGAACGATATTTTTCCTCTAAAGAATTTTGAACCGAGAATCGTACGTATTGATATCGAGTAATAGATTATTTACTGTCAATGGAAGCTGTAATTCTTTCAAGCATATTAGAAAATACGTGTGATATTTTTCGTCGAATAATACAGAAATTGAAAATTATATATTTCTGTATAGGATATAGATATGGATTGCATACGAAGGCAATAGTTAATCACTGCGGCCTTATAAATCTGTTGTGTCTCCCTTTCTTGAGTTATAACTCATCATACAGTCTAAGAGCTTTGACAAAAGCCAGTATCTCAGATGGTTTTACAGAGGTTAGTTCTCCATCTCCGATTCCGTTTCTTAGCTTCAATCTAATGAGGTGTTCACTAAGGAGTTAATTCGGTTTTTGAAGATGGAAATATAAGAAGGGCAATAATTGTTGCTATAATTACAATAATTTATCACAAATTTTTACTGAACAGTAAATTGCTGTTCTTGATTCACATCTTGTTTAAATCAAAACTCCTGTGAAATTATATTATTATATTTGTACTAGTGATGGGAATACCGGTTCCACATGAGTCGCGCTACAGTAACGACACGTTCCAGAAAAATACCGCGACAAAATACCGCGATTTTGTAACCGAGGTTCCGACTTCCAAAGTGTTGCGGTCCTCGTAAAAATATATCTAACTTATCTATATTTGTAGATTAATGTAACTTTTATCCGCCACTCATTTTCCAAATATCGAGTTTATAATTGTGTATAGCTAATCTATCTCATTTTTAGAAAAACGATGACATTCCTTGTTATTTTTTATCTTTGTCAATTTTCGTTTAAATAAAATGAACGGCTCACATTTATGTGTTGCAATATAATATATTTAATGTTAAATCAAAGAGCAAAGTCAAACCACTGTCAAAAAAAATTGTTTATTGGTCTAACCTAACTTTAAAAATAGATATAAACAATAAAACTTATATAAATGTATAAAAGCAAATAAAATATTTTTATTTTATTTTATTTGCTTTTGCGTTTCATCTTTCACACAACACTATTTTATGCCATGCCTAGTACATACAAAAAATCGCTATTTCGAAAGTAACGTAGTTACGGGAACACCAACGCCAATAGTAATCAACCAAATCGCGACAGGCAAAACCGAAACCCTTAAAGCGCTCCAGTGACTGCTGGAACGATGTACGTAGCCGCCGAGGTCGAGTGTCGATAGCCAGTTACAGCAGGGACCAGTTACTTCTGTTCGCGACAGACGGAGCTACGGCTCTAGGAGCGCGACGGCTGGAGCGAAGTTACGTCGCCTCCGAGGTCGAGCGTCGATAATCAGTTACAGCAGTTACTTCTGTTCGCGACAGGGAACTAAAACTCTAGGAGCGCGATGGCTGGAGCGAAGTAGGTCGACGCCGGGGTCGAGCGTCGATGCCCAGTTACAGCAGTTACTTCTGTTCGCGACAGGGAACTACAACTCTAGGAGCGCGACAGCTGGAGCGAACAGGTCCCGATCGAGATCGCGCGGCGCTACGGACATACCAGTTCCAGATACTACTGTTGGCGACCGACGAAATCGCGACGTCTGGAGCTAAACACGTCGCTATGCCGTTACTACGGTTCGAGCTAACTTCAAGAGCGATTATAAATAATTTATTTGCAAATTATAAATAATTTATAATTTTGTCGTCATTATGATCGTCGTTCTTCAGTAACAGGTTCCTGATTCGTTGTGGAGCGCGACACGACGTTACAAAAAATACCGCTCCAAAATCGCGTTACTCAAATACCGACACATCACTAATTTGTGCTACACTTTTGTACAATTTTGAAATTTTCACAATTCCGGTAGTTGTTTTTTAAACGAAACTTTTTAAAATGATTGTGATAATGATATTATTAAAAACTAGAAATATTAAACAACAAAGGATTATTACTTTATAATATATTATTCAATGTACAGGTTAAATAAGTGCAATATTTTAGGAGGGTCAACACGGTCTATGAGTATTTATTTTTTTTTGTAAAAAAAATGATTTTTGGATTTTTTTTTGTTGGTTAAAAACATATCTTGATAACATGGCAACATTAGGCAGTACCAACATTAAATTTAGATGAAGGAAAAACAGAAAGCAGCAAATGTTTTCAAAATTTACATATTTTATTATTCTAAATGTAAAATAATTCGGCTATTTTGGACTTAGAAAAACGACAAAGAGAAAATGTATTTCTAAAAATATTTACACCTATTTAAGACAGACGCTCCGTATATTCGAAACATGATATATTTGAAATGTTATTTCAATATATACATTTTATATAAACTAGCATAAATGTATAAACACTCAAGAACTTCGAAAAATGCTGATATTTTATTTCATAAGATCTAATAACTATTATTATAATGCAATTTTAAATGTTGTAGTTGTACTTACCGGGACCCTTGGCGCCTCCTGACAATAGCCGACCCAAGCGAAAGATGACAGCTCTTTCATACTCTTGTACGACCTGAAACAATAATGCATTCGTTAAAACCAAAATTTAATGCAGAATATCATACTGAAACTCATTTATTGCAATGAATTAATTTCAAGGAAATTAACAGACATGTGGAATTTATAATTAAAACTTTAATTTGGTAGAATTGAAGTTGGTTGACAAGTATAGAAACATAATACAGTGAGATCATATAACTTTATGACTAAGCGTTATAAAAAACTATTAACGTTCTTTTTGCTGTCATAATGCAACCGCAATCCTCGGCCGAATGGCCTAAACCAACTTAGCGGGTGTCTCAATTGACTCATATAAGATATCCGTCTCTAACAGGGGTGAATCAGCAATGCGTCTCAATATCCTGATCACTCATGCTTTGAAACGACGACAGCACGACTTTGATACGTTCATTTGTCTCGATATTCCGATCACCTAATGTCGCATAACTTCGGTGAACTACTTCTTTATTTAGTTGTTAATATAATGGTAAATATAAATGTTAGTTTCAACAATACTTACTGACAAATAGCCACCGTTCTTTCTAAAGTAAATACTATCTAAAAAAAGTATATTATTTAAAAGCGAGTTAAATCTAACATTTAACCTACGTGCTTAAAAAAGGCATTGATTTTTAAGTACACCAATGTTCAAATCAAATATTTAGCTGCTGCGAATTAAAATTCCTCTCTGGTTTAAATCTGTCCGAATGGAATAATCTGCTTAAATCTGCTACATGTGCAGAAAAATAACAGACAAATCCTCCCCAAAAAATCCACAGATAATCCCTGATACTGTACATTTCTGTAGCTTTGAAAGCTTTACTTTCAATCCCTAAAAAAATACCGATGAACATAAAACCTTTGCTCTCGTAATATTTGATATGATTATTTCATTTAATATCAACCCAATATCTTTGATGTATGGGAATGAAGAGTGCGGACGGCAAAGGTTTGACCAATTAGAGAGAAGAATATTCTGATGAATTGTAACAGTCAAATTTCCTCGCAACGACCTCTGTGTGCTAGCTCATAAATTATCGCAAATAACTATTATTTTCGCATCATGTTTACTATAATTTTATTGTTAAATATTATTTTATTTAGTATTTTATCATTATGCAATCGAATATACACCGCGATATTATACAAGCTACAGCTCAACTATCTCTACATTCCATAAGCTTAACAATATTGTCACTGGAAACGGCCGCACAGCATTAGAATTTTTGTCGACCTCTCTTTATCTTTGGTCATCACTTGTCACTGTCAGATCAAATCAGATGTTTTTGGATTTATTTATCCTTTGTTTTGGTTATTGAAATTTTATAATTATTAGATAAAATTTCGTAGTTAAATTGGTTATTTTTAATGTGGATCGCAGTGTGCAATTCGTTCTTTTAATTGTAGAATTTCTGAGTTTAGTTCGTTCATTTACCGGATATGGAATATGGCTGAGGAGAAAATATTCTAAAACATCATTTTTTATTTATGCCTTTTTGTGAGTTGGACGAGTCAAGATATATAGTTCTCTATCTATATCCTGGAGGGAGATTTCCGGTTGAAATCTGATTTTGTGAAGGAAATCGAATCCTTGCATCACTTCTTGTGTATCCACCGTCAGAATATCGTCGTGAAGAACTGGCTGCCGTTTCGTGAAGCATTCCCTGTTGGTGAATAGCAGGTCTTCCTAGAGAAGGATTAAGGCTTCCGAAACACATTTGGTCAGAGACTTGGTTGGATTTTGTTGATTTGTATGGACAGCCGACCAATTTCCGCAATGGTATTAAAATAGTCAAATTTTCCGACCGATATTCCGATTCCACGTGCCCAAGAAGTCCCCGAATAGTTCCAAGAGCAAGAAGACCGATCCAGACCGTAGTGCATAGAACAGTCCAGAATTCCATCCTGTTGTCCGTGTAGAGGTACCCGTTGGACATCATAAACCCTCGTTGAGGTAAAGTTCAGATTTAATTAGTCCTTCTTTATTACCTTTATTAACTCCTACACGTTGTGCTAGTCCTTGTTCTATAATTGAGGCTCTTTTCTAAGACAACCAATATTATTTAGCGTTTTTTATGTTCACCTTTTGAAGTCCTACACCTACCTTTCATCTGTACTCCTGCTGACATCCGTGGACCCCAGTGACATTCATCGAGCTGCTGTGCACCGCCGTAGCCACTCTGTAGCTATACACCGTAGCTCAGCCGGAGGAAGTTTTCAAGTACAATCGAACATAGTAAGACTGTACAATTTTAGTTTAGATTTAGTTTGATATTTGTAATTCACCCAGGATATTGTACTTAGTTTAAGTAAGGGGGATTATGACGTCATACTTTTAGTTAGTTTTCTTGGTTTAAATTTTATTCTACTTTTCAACGTTTATTCATTTCCATTTCTTTAAATATTAACTTTCAATATTTTAATAAATTGTTTAAACATTTTTAGTAGTATTGTTTGCAGTCTAGTCTCGTAGTTAAGTTAGAGTCACTTAAGTTTAACGAGATATAGCATATTTGAAGTTCATGGTAGTTACACTCAACAGTTCGAGGTTAGTGTTGAAGTCTACTTAATAGTAACACCATTTATGCCGAGTTCATAGAGTATAATCTCGTGGCGCCCTTTTATTAATATCTTTGAACCTCGACCACCCGGCTGTTAAAATTAAAAAGCTAGTGGCCTCTATGCAACTCATTACCGATTAAGTAAACTTTGTGTTTTATTGGACTTCAAATTAGAAAAGGGCGTGGCAGAGCAGTGAAAGCAACGATCAGGCGAAGTAGTAAAATAAATCTTACGAAAAATGACAACATGCGTGAAATTGACATGTTATGCATATTCAGCATATAGCGATTGAAAGTTTTATTTGAAAAGTAATCGATAGGTGGGACAACTAATACACAACTCGGGATCCCTACTACCAGAAATGAACAGAGGAATTAAGTTAGCATGGAGAGAGCACCTATGGAAGAAACTCAATTATATTAAAATCTAGAATGTCACTCTATCTAAAGAAGAAAACATTCGACCATCATAGTATAGAACTGCAGGTCGCACAACGTCCAATGGAACGAAATATGATGGGAATACCCAAGAGAGACCGTTCAAGAATAGAGTGGGGGATACGACAAAAGACCCAGGTAATAGATGATCATCCACAGAGTGAAATCCTTCAAATAGCAATGGGCAGGACACCTGAAAATAAGAACGAACCACAAAAATTACAGCATGGTACCTACGAGGAATTAAGAGACCTATAGAGGAATACCAAACCTGAGATAGGACAATATTAGGAAATTAGAAAGCATACCTTAGGCCCTCATAGTAAACAATAGACAACAATGGGCCCAGCTACACAGGGAGGCTACACTTTAATTCTCCCTTTAATTGGAAATGGTTGAATAAGCTGAAAATGATGATCATGATGACGAATCGATAGGTCCCTAACTCAAGATAAGAAATTTCAAGGTTTTTGTGTATAAATTTCTAGTCCATGACGAATCGTTTTTGCGGAATAAATAGAAATAATGAAAGAATGATCAAATTTAAATTATTTCATTCTTAAGAATAAGCATTACCACTGGAACTAGTTTCAAGTTTTTACAGAATTGACAAGTTAGTAAATACTGAAACTATTAGCTGTATTATTGATCAGACCGTCTCTATTAACTAACTATTAAACAAGCATTATTGAAATGTGTGGCTTCAATTAGTTACAAGCTGTATTATACATATAACTCAATCTGTACCTTTACTAATTATAAATTATTAATTATTCCTGGGTAAATACTTCAATTTGATGGCACAGGAATGATGAGAGCTATTAATATAAATTGTCAATGTGAAGTGTTTGTCTTTGCCGTTAATTGAAATAGTTTAAGTTTAAATCTCAATGTCACTATACTTTCTTTTTTAGCGACTAATCGGCTAAGTGCTTTGTTACATTTGTGAATTTTGATGATCATCTTGAAAGAATCATTCAAACTAATAAATATATATTGCCTTTAATTTTTGTTTCATCCACTGTTCACTAAAGAATGCCGAATGAATGATGAGATATGTAGGGGACACAGGGTATTTTCCATCCTCCCCTGACAACAGATGTTTTTCCTGCGAGAATATACATCCTTCCACAGTTGGAGTTTGGTCCCTCGTGCTCTTCACGGTCGAGGAGCTTGTCTTCGGCTGAGGTACCGTGAGCTGAAGGCTGGAGGATCTCTCTACATTTTCTCCACCTCTTTAACTTGTTCTCTCCTTAGACCTGATACTGGTGTTGTCCCGAATCTATAATAGAAGATATATCTCTCTTTCTCTATTGCCCGCTTGGATTTAAGGTCAAATCCTATAGTAAGGATCTGACCATGACCCTCCTCCCTCCAGTTGATGAGTCGCCAATTCGATGTCCTTGCATTGGAGTTCTATATGTGGAGGCTTACCCACTCTCCTTCAGAACTCACGTGCCGCCACTGCGTTCCAGTACGTTGTTTATCATCAATCGGAAAAAACACAAATAACTAAAAACCCATATTTCACACAAGACAAGACAATTTAATAAAAGCTACCACGTCAACTGTTACAGGATATTGTTTTTCTATCTTGCCTTTTCTCAAGCGTGTCTTAATTTTGTCAAAATAAAGGAAACAGCAGGAAACATTATTTCGGGCTTCTTTTTCATTTCCTCCACTCATTTTTTATTCTTCTGTTTGAGTTAGTCAGTCGGCCATTAAAAAAGAGAAAGAATGAAATATATATTTTCAATAACACAAATTGGCCTGTTATTTGAGTTACAATAAGCGACCCATGTCACCGGTTTTGGGATAGGAAACATTTACTTTGCGTTCGAAAAACAGTTCTATTTGACATTTGATTTATTTTTTCTTCAGGTCTGTTTGTTTTAGCCTTCGTATATAGTTGTACTAAAAGAACTGGAATTTATCCCTTTCAAAATTGTTTCCAATAATAATACCTACTACTTTTTATATGTATTGGTTTAGTACAAAAAAATATAAAAATTTT